GCCTCTTTTTCCCTTTAATATGTTTCACTAGGTTTGAGATGCTCAACAAGTATTTTAAATAGAGCATGTCAGAATTTATAAAGAAAATGAGACTACCAAATCCTGTGTGGATATTCTAGCTACTATATAACCTTCAGGTTACATATGCAGTTTTACCTTCCCAAAATGGTGTAATAGCTTCCCTCTGTGTTGCTCAATGGCTTAGAGAAATACATTTGATCAGTGTGAAGTTTGTCTAGCTTTTCTGGGCAGTTAAAGCAATAAAGTGCAATTTTAATGTGGGTGCTGCTGTGCTTGGTGCTGTATGAAGTGTAGGGAATAATTCTGAAGTTCTAGGAGTTTCTTTCAAAATAAGGCAGGGGGGAAAAAAACGCTCATTTTCTTCCCAGAAAACTTTTCCTTTAAATTTTGATATATGAGTTTCCAAATGATATACAATATTTTGAATAATCTAAAGTTAATGTGTTAAGTAATTTAGTAAACTATTTTAAGTCTTCTGCTGCACTTTTATCAAACACTATAATTGCATACTAAGGATGTGGAGTATCATTGAAATGTGATTTTTAATTATTCCTATAATTTAAGGGAAAGTTTCGTGTTTGAGGTCTTAGAGTTTCGCTGGAAGACTGTTGACTATTTTGAGTATGGTCGGACTTCCTGTTTTAAAGATTAAACCCCTTTCAGCTACAAAATGCATGTATGTCTTAAATGCAACATGCAGTTAATACTAAATTTACAAAGTGTAGAATATTACATGTTAGAATTTTTATGTGTTCCTATCTTTATGTGCATTTTGTAGTTTTTTAACCCCAGACAATTCTTTGTCCTGGGATCCATACTGTTCAAGTAGCTATTCAGTAATTCTTTTTGTCCTTGAATTCTATCTTGCCTAGTTTCAGGCATTATTTAATGCATCCTTGCACAAATACAAAGTATGTGTCACTCTAACTACTTCTCAAAGCTCGCTGAATTCACTTTCATAATAAAGCTGAGTAAGTTGGTGTGGTGGTACTCTTACTTGCAGCTGAGGGCCAAGGTGTAGAGGGAGCCCAGAGTTGTTTAAATGTCAGTTTTGTAGAAACATAGTGCGATCTCAGGGCTTTGTGAAAATACTGAAAATACAAGAATTTACAGGCTGGTAGAAGAGAAGCAACCTGCCCTGAAAATTAAAGCCTTGGTTAGGATTTGAAAAATTGAAATACAGTCCTTACCTGGGTTGAAAACTGTTCTAACAGAACCTGTGCACAACTAAATCCGGTTGGATTTTTGTAAACCATGAGTGGCCATATTTTTACTTGCAGAACTATTACATGCTTTATAAAAGAATGTGGTGTTCTGCCCCTTAAGAAATTTTCTTGCTAATACATTTTTAAAAATGCATTTTGATTGAATTTTCAATTCAGAAGAGTTAAGACTTGTATTTGACTTTCTTAGTCTCTCTGCTCATGTTTTTTAAACCCTTCAGCCCTAGACATGCAAGTTATGATATCATGGTCAGTTTAGGCTGAGCTAAGACAATGTTGTCACTGAAAAGGGGTTACTTCAGTGTCCTGTTTGCGCCCCTTGTGCCAGGCTGAGTTATTCCCTCTGTGGGTTACTACTCTGTGGCTTTACAGAGTAGGATCAGTACCCTGATGTAAGTCAGAACCAAGTAAAAAATAAACAGTGATTTTCTCAGTAGACTTGATGTGTGTCAACGCAAGCAGCTAAGTCAGCACAGTAGATGGAACAGAAATAGGAGGTGGAAGAGGATTGCTCCTCTTGGTGTCAGCCTGGGGACTTGCAATTCAGTTAAAGGCAGTGGAAGGAATTCTGTTGTAACTGGGGAGGGTGGAGTGTGGGGTGGAAAAATGAGTATGAAATTGTTGTGTGCCATTTTGTTTTCCAGTTTTTGTGCTACACAGGCTTAAGTCATCAGTATATTTACAAATCGTTTCAAATCTATCTCTCCTGAGAACTGGTTCAAAGGAAGTGGGTATGTAAGGATTGTGCAAGTTGTATTATGTAGATATAATTTTTGAGCATTTGTCTTTGTGTATGGAACCTAATTGTATCGCCCCTGAGGGCAGTTTGTTTCTCTGTGCTTTTATCGACCCTGAGATTACCGCTTTTCAAAAAAGGAGGTATATTAATTCATAGGGCTCATGGTCATGCAGTGTATCAGGTTTGACACTTGTTCTTTCTCAGTTCAAAAGGAAGCAAGTTGATTAATTTCTAGAGCAGAGTTGTGGTGATCTGATCCTTGGTTTTGTATTGAAGGTCTTGATAACTAAGTATTCCTCAAGTCTAAATTGATTTTCTGTGTTTCTAGAGAGTGAGCTCTTAACTTCTGCATAGCTAACTTCTGCTGTGTTTTAGCCATGTGATGGTTACAGTGAGAAAGAGTAATAAATCCCAAAATCAGTCAAACATGTATACAAACAATTACAGAAAGCAATTCTGATAAAAGTCTGATAATATTGACAAAAATGTCAGTGTCAGAGCCTTAACTGCACAGTGTGTTCTTGTATGGTAACCTTTCTGTTCAACCTATTGGATTCTGTAAAGATTGTTATAAATACTGTTGTATAGAAAATTTCGGTTTTGGGCTCTTTTTGTAAAGCAAATTGTTGGCGTTTTATTATATTTTTTTAGATTTTATTTTTATACAATTATTCTCTAGTATATTAATTTTCAAGATCATGTAGCTCATTAAGTTGTCTGGTTGAAAAGTATGAGGTCTAGGCAGTACTTTGAAGTATGGGGACTTCATTCTGTGTGGCCAAGTACTCCAGAAGCGTTGCCAAGGAAAAAGTTTGTCTGTGAACATTTAGGATGCAGATGCCTCCCTCTGTGTAGGTTACAATTATATTATTTTCCTCTCTGAGATTGAAATAAGGGTCAACAATTGCAACTAAGATTTGTCAAATAGTTACAGAAGGGTGCTGGCCAATGGAAGAAAGTAAAGGGGAGAAGCCCATCACTTACAGAAGACCTTAATTTTGGAAAGAGTTGAGAACTGCATTCAAGTCAAAGGGTATAGGAGTTTCATAACCCTTATTAGATAACTACCAGAGTAGTTCTGAGTTTAGTTTTGTAAATGGAGTCTGTGGACAGCCAGTAACTACCAAGTGCTTGTAGTGTGCTGTTGTGCAAATGTGCAGGTAACTTTTTTTTTTTTAAAAAACCCCACACTTGTAACTGTTTTATGTGTGCTGTGGAACAACTGTGCATTGATTGGTGAAAATTGGCGTAGTATCTTAGACTTGTGAAATTGGTCATTTGCTGCCCTGGGTACTAGGGGAGTGGAAATTACATGTAATTGTAGTTTTCTGCAGAAGGCTGTTAACTTCCTTTTTGATTAGAGTAATTTTTGCAGTGTTTTTTTGGAATCTAGTATAGTTGCAGTTGAGTATAGTTGGGTTTGTTGGGTTTGCTGATTCTGGATCATGTTCTCTACCTTTTATCTTTATGTATCTGTGCAAACAGTACAGTCTCTTTGGGTATGCTTGGGGTTTTTTGGTGTCGTGTTAGTGTTGTTTCCTTCTCAGTCCCTCCTCTCTTGAAATACACTTTGGTTCCTTACTGTTTCTCACCAAGTGCCAGTGGTTAGAGTGCTTTCATGACAGACTTTTAACTGCAATAATCATAACTGCCTTGTTCTCACTAGGATTTTAATTTGATTAAAGCAGTAGTTAGCTTATGCAAGGAAAAGAAACATGTTTTAATTTGGTTCACCATTGAGCACAAGGCCAGAGTGGCTAAAATAGGGGCTGATGTGTGAAGTCTTACATGGTGATACTACTTGGGTTCAGGAAAGGAGAGATGCAAGACTGCTATCACCCTAGTTAGACTGTTTCAGGCTGTAACCACTGAGTAATGAAAATGTGCAACCACGCCCTTCACAAAAATCTTCACGGATACATTGGGTGCCGATTATAGCACTTCCACCCTCCTCCCCGTGCCTCCTTTGGTAATGAAATGGTGGTGGTGTTCTTGAGCTCAGTAGAGCAACGTGGTCTCTACTTTCCTTTCCTTTTTCTAAATCCCTCTTCCAAGAAATTTTATATTGAATCTAGTACTGAATTAGCTACTCAATGACTTCAGTCAATTTAAAGTCATAGAGAGGAAAAATGAGTTTGTAATGTTTCTGTAATGGTGGCCAATCCACTAATGTAATTTAAATGTTGTATTCCCATCTGCTAATTCATTTGTCTTCCCTAGGATTTTGGCTTGAAAAAATCAAAACACAAGTCCTTTCACTTTGTACTGAAGAGACTACTTTTTTCCTTGACAAACTTACTATGTTTATTTTTCAATTACAATTTTTTGCGCTAGTTGAGATGGCTTGTATGTTCTGTTGAATTTATTATTTTCTTCTAGGTTAGCAGGCAAGTAGGAGTTTTCCTTGCTTCTTTTTATGTTAGGTGGGTAGTATGACTGATGCTTTGAAAAAAAAAAATCATTATTTTTCTTCATACAGAGCACCACACTAAACCCAATTGTCCCTTGATAGTCTAAAATTCAGCTCTTTTCAGTACTAAATAAAACGTGAATCCATAGAATAGCTGTTTCCTGTATAATGGATTTGTAAATTTGTATTTGAATTTATGTAATAATTTTTTAATCTGTTCAGTATGGTGGCATTAAAAGGTGAATTGCTAGTTGCAGTATAACTAATTTAATATGGCTTTTGGTTTGGAAGAAAATGTATAATAGACTTACGATAATAATGCTCTAAGAACACAAGTGTGTGCATATATCAAAATGTTTCATATGGTTGCCATTTGTTCCTTCTTGCAGATTTACTACACAGGCTTTAATACCGGTTCGTCTTGAACAGAAAATAATAGTCTGGGGTAGAAACACTTTTGTTTTTACTGACTTGCTGAAATAATTAATAAAATGCAATTTTTTTTCTTTTTCCTTCTTCTTTTCTTCCTTGTGTGACAGACTTTGTTGCTTTATTTTGGGTACCAAAGACAATAAAATATGTTTTTGCTTTTTTTGTGTGTTTTCAGGCTCGGATAGCGTTTTTACAAGGGGAAAGAAAGGGCCAAGAAAATTTGAAGAAAGATTTAGTGAGAAGAATAAAAATGTTAGAATATGCATTAAAACAAGAAAGGTAAGTATACAAATTGTTCCCTTTTTTTCTGACCTGAAAAACTTAATAGACTAAGATGAATTCCCTTCCATTAAGTGAAATGCCTTATTAGATAATTCTGATTTACTTTATGTAAACTTGTCTTTAAGGTTGATTGTCTTCACCTTGTGTTTTCTAACAAATCTTAGTGTCTTCTATAGTAAAAAGTTGCATAATTTGCAAAATGTTTGGACTTGCATCTTAAATAGACAAACGGGACAGTTTCTCTTTTCTGGATTCAAGTTATGGTGTACTGAGTAAGAGTGAACATACTCAAAGGGTTCATACCTTATTACTATACCTTTATCTGTGCTTCAGTTGTATTAAATTGGAAAGGATGAAAAATACTGCTCTCTTGGTCCTTTTCAATTATGTTGTATGTGTTGCATGATGAAAACTATGTTTCATGAAAGAACAAAATCCTTTAAAAATTATTTGTTCATTTTGAAGTTTTTTGTGTTTTTTCATGTGTAGAAGCTTGCATACTTAGCCTCACTAGGTGTGTTTTCTGTAACACTAATTGCCTGCTTAAAAAAAATTAAAATTCCATTCTGTCTGTACAGGCTAATGTCCTTCAAACCTACCTTCTTTTTTTGCCTGGCTATTTCATTTAACCAAAACTGGTAGTTGATTTTGTGAAATCACTTGGGAGATAATCTTGTCAAGTGCCTGTACTTTCACTAGAGGACTCAGTTCTTAGTTTTCATTTTATCTTGCTTCTAAAAAGTAGCTGAGTTCAATGATGAAACATCTTGACAGGCAACAAAATACATTGTCCTTATTTGTGTATTTTGATTTTGGTGGAACATTCCTGTCAGAGTAAACATAAAATTTTGTAGCAAAATGTGGTGAGGTTTCACCTGAATATTTTTAAGTTAGTTGTCCATGTGTGTCTAAATATAGCTTACATTATGGATCACTGCTATCAGTAAGAGACTAGTACAGAAATAAGTTTCAGTTGTTTTTGTATTAAAACCTAATGTTTTGGCAAGATGGCTTTGTTCTTCTGTGTGAAGTGTCCAGCACAGGGGTGCTTCAGAAAACATTGTATATTCCTACAAAAAGCCATATCAACACATCACATATTTTCTGGTGATGTAATAGGCAGAAAGGATCTATTACTTCGCTCAGCCCTGTCCGTTTAATGGAAGGAACTCAAGCCAGTGTATGGCTAAAAGTTGAGTTGTCATATCAATATCTACAGGTAATGTACAAGTCACTCTGGGTTCAAGGCAGATGAAAGTTATGCAGGGTCTTGGGTGTAAATAACACTGAGCATATCAAAGAAATAATCTGCTGTTATGGCAGATGCAGGTGTCTTGCATGTAAGTAACTTTCTGAAGTTGAAGGAAAAGGTTTTGCTTATTTTGGCAGTAATGAACTGTATGCTGTGTAGGGCTGTTCTGCAAATGTACACCATAAAGCAATGAGAATTACTGCTTAGTGAGATAAATCAGAGGCACTTAATTTCACCTGCAGCATGAAGGCGTCCTATAACAGGATGCACAATTTGAAGTTGCATGGCATTGGTGAAACCTCATTACTTTCCTGAAATGAAGCTGCTTTTATAGTCTTCCCATGAAATTCTAAAATTCATGTAATGGATAAGAAACTTGTAAACATGTGTACCGGAAGAATAACAGCAGGAACATACTGTTTGCTTTAGTTCTTGTGGCTAGTGGGTGCAGTCCAGCACTGCAGTAGTTTTCAAGAGGAAGATCCTGGCATAAGTTTCAGCCATAATTCTCATGAAGATTGCTAGAAGTGGGAATTGAAACTTGAGTTGACTGGTGAATGTGTGGGAGGCAACAAGGAAGCTACAAATGCTCTGTAGTTTGAGGGGATCTAACTGTGAAAGTATGATGGATTGAGTAATTGAAAGCAAGCAGGTACTGACTTGCCAGTAAATCATCCAAGAAAAATATATTATGTTGGTTTCCTGCTTGTTGCACTCGGTGTTCAGGGTAATAGATGTTATTTTTTTTACATTGTTCCCGAGTGAAGAATCACAACTAAGGAAAATACACCAGCTCCAAAGCAAAATAAATTCTGAGAGTTTCAGACCTGAAGATTGTTGACAGCAAGTTTCGGTGTTGCACCTGATTCCCCCCACCCTTTTTCTTCTTTTCTTGTTGCTAACTCCCTGATGCCATCAAAAAGTTTCATGCAGTGAAATACCAATTGGGAGTCAGGAACAAACTCATTCAGACAACTGTTGTGATTTCTCAGAAAACGGTTATGAGGCAGAACATCAGTGTGTAAGATTAAATAAAATGCAGTAGTTGTTACAAAGTAGTTTGGTATTTCTAGTATTTATCTCTTAAGTATGTGTAATAATGTTTTAGACAAGTAAAATGTCATTATTTTAGTGTCCTTAAATGCTTTGATAGTTGATAATGTTTTAGTAATAAAATTAGGTCCTATGCAGTTACATGCATGGGGTTTCTTGGTTTGTGTCTAGTCTGTATTCTTTTATGATGCTTTGCAGACCCAGCCCAATGTTGTCTTTTGTGTGCTCTGAGCCACTCTACTCTGAGCTTTGTTACCATAGCGCTGTGCTTAAATTAATGAGACTTGTTGAAATCATGAAGCTGTGGCTGTATTTTGGCTTTGTGGGCTTTGGACTGGACAGACTTACACCCTTGCAAGTGTGTGGTGTGATTCAACAATTAAATAGCAGGAAGCAGTTAAATCAAGTTAGGGTGTTGTTTTTTCTACTCTTTTTTACTCACAGAAACCTAGCCTTAGATAAGTCAATATTCCAAAGATGGAAACACTGCCCCTTGTAGAATTCGGTTTCTCTGTGGTGTGGAGGAGTATTGTCAGTGACGTTGTAGCTTGTTAGTTAGTGTTTTATAAGATATGTAGTAACGGTCCCAACAGGGAAAGGAATAGATGTGCAAATATATAGTTGATTGGTATTTAATAATATTAATTTTGCTGTGAAATTGTAGTTGTGATGTGAAAGACCACTGGTCTCATTGTATGCAGCAATATTTTCTCTTATTTATAGTGGGTAGTCATTGGTGTAATTCTAGCACATCATTATATGTGCTAATGAAAAGTTAAAGTAGAATTTTAATTAATGTTTTGAAATTGTAAGTCCAGAATGGAACTCAAGTGCTCCCAAACAGTATGTCATAGCTCTAAATTGAACAAATTTAGGAATTATAGTGCTTTATTGGCTTCACTTATGAGTTGAGCAAAAAGTATTTTGTCAACTTTATTTGACTTGAATTATTTTCATTTTGGTTGTTTAGGGTTGCTTGGGGTTTTTACCCCCCCTAGATGGACAGTACTTTATAGGGTATGTAAATCGAAGTACGTACTTGTAAAGCCCCAGACTAGCTTGACAAGTTTCCTAATGGGCTTTAGGTTTTTTTAATATTCTGAGGCAGGTACATGGGAAAATGTGGCAAAGTTCTCAGAAGATTGAACAGCAAACTTCAGAAAATAAGGGCAAATTTTAAACCAATCATTCAGTCAAGAAAAAGAATTTCAGAAGGGATTGACTTAGCAAACTCTAGCTCATCCAGCTTCAAGTTAACCAGACACACTTCAGTTGTCTTGAGCCAATAATAATTTTCTCCGGTCTCTCACTGTACTTATTCATATTTGGAAAGCTTGGTGGAATGTTGCCCTGTTACAATGAGGCATGGAGTTTTGTCTCTCAGTTTAAAGAGAGGACCTGGAGGTAAATAGTCTAACTAGTGCAGGGATGAGCTATGAACATATTCATAAAGAGTTAAAAAATAATGATTCTGTTTAGTTGGCAGTTGGATTCAGGTCACAAAAAGTCTTCAGGAGCTTTACAATTTTTCATTTACAGTGTGATTGCCATGAAATGAGGGATTTTATCTTACTAAAAAGGGTCAATAGTGCCATCTACTGACAGTTTGTTAATGAGACTTCCTAATTGCAATTTTGGCAGAAATTTGTGTAATCTTGAAGAAAATCCTTGCCATCAAATATATAAGGCACCATTTGAGTACCAACCTGTACTTTCAGTTTGATAACACTTGCAGTAGTGGCTCAGGCATTGGAGAAGGTTTCTTGGAAATCCTGGATTTTGTCCAGCATGTGTTCCATTATATGTTTTTACTTGAGAAGTTTCGTATTCAAAAATAGTTTTTTATGATTGATGGAAGCTAAGTGTTGTTCAGTTGTTCTTAAACCTTTGATCAGATGTTTCATTTGGAGTGATAACAACTGTATTGCTTAGAGGTTCATCAGAATATGTCTGCTAATGTTTTTATGGATATTTTTCACTTTGCCTCTACTGCAGAACACCTAGAGCTCTGTACCATGAGATTTTGAGTATTTTTGCAGAGGATCTATGAGGTAAAAGTCAAACTGTGAAAGATCAGTGATAAAGTTTGAGAATTCCAGGATATAGGATATAGGTAGTTCAGGTGAGATTCCTAGTTGTAAAGGGAGCTGAAGATGTTTTGATAGGCAGCTTGAGTAGAGGATAAGATTTTGAAGGCTCACGCATACTTGAATGGAAATAGTGTCACCAAGACCAGTATTTTACAGAGTGGTGGTGTTTGGCCAATCGATGGGGGTGGTGGGGTGGACACAGACACCAGTGGAAAGAATGGTCTTGGTTTACTATTAATATTGAGGCAACACACATGTAAGGGGGTACGTTTGATAAAACAATAAGCATATTACTCATTTGGCTTTAGCAACAAGCAAAAATAAGCAAGGTAATACATCTAATCATTAGTATATGAGAGAGTGATTAGTGATTGAGAAGGATTTATCACCAATTGCCTGAACACTTCACTATCATCCAGAGTCAGTCCTTTTGCAGTGAGGAGCTGGAGAAGCCTTCCTGGTATTTGGGAAAATCCTGTGTGCTATGTGTCCGCTCATAGGTGAGGTCTCAGGTTTGCCCAAAAAGGGGTCCAGCTTTTATAGGCCCAAATCAACAAGTCCAAGTGACTTGTTAGCCTTTTGTGCAGGAAACATCTGGTTCTGATGGCATGCTTCCTGACCAGCCAGAGCCCAGGCCATGGCTGGGAGGCTTTTTGCTTAAAATATTCCACTAACAAGTCTCTAGGGATATAGTCTGGGAGGATTTCTCCTACTAATAAGCCCTTAGGGACATTAGTTGGGAGAATGTCTTAATATATCTTACACAAGGTTGTACAGATGTCTCTACAGCAGCTGGTTTGGCATTAAGCACAACTAATATAAATATTTTGATAATCTATTTTTAACTAAAGAGCCTTGATGGCATTAATCATATCATGCTCAAGATTCATCTTGTAAGTCAACTTGGGCCTAGGCCTGCTGTTCAGGCCGTAGCATATCAGATGGAGAAGGAGAGACTAGGGTTAGCGAATCAGAGATCAGAAGATGGGAAGGACTGAGGCGCTTTTGCATAGGAAGACTAAGTAGAAATTGGAAACTAAGCCTCTAGTCAATGAAGAGGAGGAAATCCAGAAGAGAATACAGGTGATGAGAGAAACAACCATGCTAACATGGCTCTTCTAAGGGATATGTATCATAGGCAAAGATGGAGCAGGAGACAAATTGAAGTGGAAGGCAAAAGTGGCAGATAGGCAGGAACCCCAGAAAAGTTGATTCATTGTAGTGTGATTGGCTACCTATGACAGTGGTACAACTGGAAAAATTATTTCTGCTAAGTTCTTGAACCTGCTGGTTTTTGAAAGGTTCTCTTATTAGCTGATACACAGGAAAAACCCCACGTTCTTGGAGAACACACTAAACTCTTGTTTGTAAGTTACTTGATGATTTTGAGTAATTGTCAAAGTACTGTCTCAGAACTGTGTTCTTGAAAGACTAGAAATAATTGTTAAATGCAAGAATTATCACAACAGTTCTAGCTGGATTAATTGTCCTATGTTGGTATGGTTGCTTTAAACGGGAACAGTAGAATGTTTTGATTTGATCGAAGTCTGGTCTACTAATTTGATAAACATCTGCATACTTTTTCAGGGCAAAATATCATAAATTAAAATATGGCACAGAATTGAACCAAGGTGACTTGAAAATGCCAACTTTTGAATCAGGTAACTTTTTTACAATAAATTTTTGTCTGTTTAATTTATTTCAGCTTTCTTCTCTGCACCCTCCTCTTAGCTCCATTATAGAGAATATAAGAAAGTTATGGGGTAAATGGGGTAAATATTTTTTAGTCTGAAAATCAAAACTAATTGACTTTTTTTTTTTTTTTTAAGAAACTGAATGTTTTTATCTTAAATCAAGGAAAAGACTCCAAAGAAGAAAAAAATAGGCCATCCTAACTGCTTTTCTGGAGTGCATCTGATTTTGCAGTTGTAAATATCTGATAATAACAGTTTTGCTCTTCAAAGTACTGCAGATGGAAGAAAGCATTTCTCCTAATAATGCTGGGCTCTTTAGTAAATGGAATTGCTTTTGACTTGTTTTTGAAATGTTGGTCTTTGGGAAGTCTGTGGCCCGTACTTGTATAGTGTGCCTTAAAATTGTGGTCTACAAATTTATATGCCACTCCCTTCTTTTTCCCTCCCCTTCTGTTTTGCAAGTACCGCATTTTGGGTACATTCATACCCAGCTGAAATTAGAGATCATGATGCATATTTCTGACTTGATAGGAATTTTTTGATTGTTTCTAAAAGCAGTATAAGTTAGATGTTAATTTTGACACTGTGTCTTTCAGAAGATACCAAAGATACAGAGGTTCCTGCAATACCTCAGAATAGCCAATTGACCTGGAAGCAAGGCAGACAGTTACTGCGACAGTAAGTAGCATTATTGGATATTGGTGTATTCATACTTTTCCTTGCAGTTTGAGGAGCTCTATGAAACAGAGTAACTGAGGTGGGCAAATAGTGATTTGTTCTATAGGACCTTGGAGTCTTGAGCTTTAAGCAGTACAGAGTAAGGTTTTCCATGTGAGAGGGATAGCGAAGCTTATTTTTCCTTAAATGATAAAACAGTGACATTCATTTTTAACAGTGAATACTATGTTTCCTTTTTCATCAAATATCCTTTCCTCTTTCTTCCTTCTCTGAACCTACCTAGGTATCTTCAGGAAGTAGGTTATACAGATACAATATTGGATGTACGCTCCCAGCGGGTAAGGTCTTTGCTTGGGCTCTCCAATTCAGAACCAAATGGTTCCGTAGAGACAAAGAACTTAGAACAGATCCTGAATGGGGGTGAATCTCCTTCGTCAAAACAAAAGGGACAGGAAATCAAAAGGTAAGTGAAGAGATAAGAAATGCATGAAGTTTGTTTGCTTAGTCATTGATACGTACTGCTCAGTTCACATTGAAATTTTGGCTGGAAATCCTGTGAACACCTGTGGGTGTAGTTGACCACAAACGGTTATGAACTTAACTGAAGTTGATTATACATAAGAACATACATGCCTATTACATACATACATGTATGTTACACTAACATGATATACAGGAAGATTGTGTGTTAATGTTTAGTTATGTAATATAATCACTTTGGAGTCGTTATTTTAAGGAAGGAGTCTGTTTAATGGTGCTTTTGTAATAAGGACTTAAGCAGATGTAGAAACTTAATTCGGTGGTTTCTTGTTTTGCTGGTTTTTAAGTTTTCAGGCTGTCAGGTAGCAATTTTGTTTAATCTGGTTAAGCTTTTAAATCTCTTGAGGATGTAAAATGGATTCTCTCTTAATATTTTTATTTATATAGGAATTCTGGTGATGTTCTTGAAACATTCAACTTCTTAGAAAATGCAGATGATAGTGATGAAGAAGAGGAGAATGACATGATAGAAGATATTGCAGAAGGAAAAGAAAAGCATCGGATAAATAAGAAACACAAAGTAAAAGATTTTTTTTCTTTTTATAATAGATCTGAAATTCCCTTTCAAAAAGGAAGTTTTTTCTCTGGAGATGGTAGAAATATGTATTGTCGAAGTATTTGTTGCACTTTTGTTATCAAAGTGGATTATGTGCAGATGCATTACTAATAGATATGGTGGTTTGCTTAATACATTACATTGCCAACTTCAAAGTAGCTAACCAGGCTGTTTGCAGATATGAATGCTGCTTTGGATTTTCCTGAATAGTTGGCAGTGTGAGATTGTCTTGATGGAAACCTTAAATCTCCTGATTTGTCAGGAAGGGGTTTTTGCCATACCTCGGACTTCTGGTAAAGAGATTAGTCAAGCATTGAGTTGAATCCCTTTTTTTCTATAAAAAACCTGGTAATAAGATTATCAAGTAAATCTCTAAGGACACTCACTTTTTGACTTTTGACCAAGGTTTTTTTTTTTTTATAGAAAACAAAAGGATCATTTATAGTTATCTTTATAAAAATGGTCTCTTTCTGCAAAAGTAAGAACATTTTGCAAATAACCTCATGTGGAAAATTTCTTGAACGGAAGAATAAAATGAAACTTTTCACTGATGCCTTAGTAGAGGGTTTGGTTTTTTTTTTTAAGGTGAAGATGTGGTTAGAAGTAGTAAAAATACAGTTTTCTTAAAATGCTCTGTATTCCAAGCTTATGCTTAACACTGAAATAGAACTGGAAAGCAAAAAGAAGGAAAGGCTTCTGGACCAGTAGAAGGCATTTTTCGTAAGCTCTCTCTGCAGAACCGTTGATAAGGCAAGAAGATCAATAAAATTTTCTAATTCTTGTGTTAAATAAAAAAAGTGAAGGCTGGGGTGTATGGGATTTTTGTTGCTAAAGCTAGTGTCAGTGTTCTTTTTATTTCCTAACGTTCAGCAGACTGCACTGTTCTCTTTTTTGTTTTGATAAACCAACTGAGATCACAGTTTCTTCTTGTGCATTTTAAATTGAAAAATGTTTTCCCCTGCAACAAATCACTATATATCTTCTAACCTAAATGACTAGAAGATCTTTTTATGATTCAAATGCAGGAAAATATTTATCTTCTTGCAGATTGGTAATGAAGGTTTAGCTGCTGACCTTACAGATGACCCTGATACTGAAGAAGCTTTGAAAGAATTTGACTTTTTAGTGACAGCTGAAGATGGTGAGGGAGCTGGAGAAGCTCGAAGTTCAGGAGATGGAACAGAGTGGGGTAAGACACTAATAGAAGCATTTAAATATAAAGGAAAACTTGTTCGTGATACTTCTTAAGAATTTGGTAATACTTACTAAAACGGTGTGGATGTGTGTATGAATGTGATGACAAAACAGTGATGCTTAGAAAGTGATATATTGTATGGTGAAACTTTCCTGGTTTTTATTGCATATTGCATTGTTTTTATTGCATTTTCAATGAAGCCAGAGCAAAGTGAGGCAGAGCATTTTAGGAATTTGTACACACTTGTGACAGCTGATTTAACTGCAGCAATCCCATTGCTACCAAAAAACTTATATCTGAGACAAGAAAGTGGGAAGGACAAAATAAAACATAAACTTAGTTTCATCTTTCAAAATATGTTCTCAGTTTTGCTGTATGAAGACAATTTTCCTAAGGTTTTTTGTGTATTTGTAACTTACTATTTAAATCAGTCAAAGACATGCCTACAACTGCAGTAGCAATATTTATTTCACAGTATGTCACTGATTTTAGTACCGTGTTCTTTCCTTAAATGGGCATTTAAGGATACAGTCCATCAGATCTTGGGATTGTGTTACTTTTTAAAGATCAGTGTAAATATGACAAGACTTCTCTGTTAACTCACAAATAACATTTTAAATACTGTCCCACTTAATACTTTCCAAAATAAAATAATACAGTCCCTAAACCAATTTATTTAGTTATTTTAAACTCTATGAAACGTGTTACTTCAAATATCCAGGTCCATCCAGTTAGTTATTTATGTTGAGGGGAAACTTAATTTAAATGAATATGTGCTGTCACTTCCTAAACAATTGCATCAGTCATAAACTGAAATATTTCAGTTAAAATCCAAATTTTTTTCATAGTTTTTTCTTTCTTCCTGTTTTTGTTTTCCTGTCATTAGCCTCCTTCTGTCGCTTCTTACCTTTGTAAACATTTAAGCATTCTGAAAAAAAGTTAATATTTACTTCTCTAATTAGTTATAATGCTTCTATTTCGTATCTGGAAAACATCTGATGTTTAGGCTCTAAATATATTGCCTAGTTTTGCTTTAGTAATATTTACAGTACTTAATTGCAGAGTATTATCTCTAAGTCCAACTTTCAATATCCTAAAGTGTTTCAGCACCAAATTTGATAGTTACATTTTTTCTGTTGATGACTTCTTCAAACCTGTGTTTGAGGTGTTTTGAAGTTTGGATTGCTTTTCTTTTCTGCTGTATTATGGCTTTTTATGAACATAACATTTTTATAAATACAATATATTTTATATGAGTGCCTTAGTTAACATACTTTGAGTGTTAAGTTAATTCCAAGTTGTGATTTAAAGTGTCCTATCATGGAACATGTTTTACTTAGGAACAGCTTATCTTCAGAATAGTGAAAGATGAGCAAGTTCAAGCAGTGTTAAATGAAGAGCCAAAGTCATGTGACATGCTAAAAAATATGTACAGTTTTAGATTTAAAAAAAAAATTCCTTATGGCGATTTATTATCAAGAAAAAATGCATGTATATCTTCAGTTTGCTTAAACAAACAGCAATATATATGTATTATTATATATTGTGCTACATATGTCACTTATTATGTAGGCTCTTCATTCTGCTTATGGTTTCACGTGTTCGTCACTGGATTTCTCTTCCCCATGAAACACAAATGTTCTCTTCACAGATGGACCATAAGTCAGAGAATGACTGTGCCCAGAATACTGGGTGGCAGTGTGTGACTGAAATTCACAGTCTCTTGGGCCATCTTCAAAAGACTTGTAACAAATAGAAAAGTTTAAAGCCAGTTTTTCTCAAATCAGTTACACAGGTCAGTGGACATCCAGGGTCCTTGGTGCTGTCCTGTATCAGTTCAGTGCAAGGAAGGTCCCTCTTGGGGGCAATTGCAGAGATCTTCTAGTTACTTTAGGCTATTTCAGAACAGAGACATGTATCTAGTCATGCTGGAGAGAAGCAGTGCTGGGTTTTTCTAAAAATCTTGTTTGAAATTCCTTTCACAGCCTACCCAGATAATCCGAGTTTGTGTTTTGTCTAGTTTTCTATTTGCAGCTTACATTTTTGCAGCCAACAGTGTTGGTTTTGAATATTTATGTTTGCAGGCTTGTGCTTTTCCTGTTTTCTGTTGACTGAATGAGCCCAGTTCCTTCAAATTCGTTTTCTTTATATTCAATGCCCTATTTGTTTTGCACTCTTCAGACATTTTCTAAACTTCCAGTGTGGAACACAGACTGAACATGTTACTTCAATTTTGTCATTACCTGCACTGTCCTGGTTTAATGCACTGCACCTTTTAAAATGTACCAAAATTACATTTTTTAGAATGGCATTACATTGATGTTTGATGTGGTCATCTTCTGGTTCAGTTTAATTCCTAATTCTTCTCTGCAATGCTGAAACCTATCTGATTATTTTAATTTTACTAATGGTGCTTTGGAATTTTATTAATTAGTTTTAATTAGATTTTAATGGAATTTTCTTTTAATTGACTTTTAGCGGTTTTGATTTTTTTCCTCTTTGACTGGGCATGTTCTCTGACTTACCTTTCTGTTGTTCTCGTGTTTCCTGAGTAATCACTCTTCCTCTTCCTCTCTGTCAGTGTTTAGGCCCATTGATCAGAAGGATTGAGGTCTTTATGTTTGCAGTTGATGTAGCTGTAGTTTGGTGTAGGATGTCATTGTTCCCTTCTCATCACCTAAGTTCTTCGTGGACAGCTCAGGGGACTCTGCCATTATGCTTCTGTTTCATGTTTCACTGCCCTTGCCATCTCTGTATTCCACCTCTTGATCAGGATTGTCATTGAATGATGGCAGATGCATCAGTATCCTAGGGTATCTGCTTATTCATTGTCATGTTTTGTCGTGAAACATGTACTTGGAATAACACCTATTATTTTCATTTTAAGTGCATGTTACTTTGTTTCTGCTGTGTATGACTCCTCTTGTGTACTTTGATTATTATTATAATGGTTGTAACTTCAAAAATGAGTACAATCACATTGTAAATGTGATTGGAAGTTGGGAACTGAGGAACTAAGTCTTGTGATTTCATGCCTAAAGAATTTGTGAGTATAAAGCTAAACTGACACACAAACCAAGTTTGGTTGCTGCCTGATTGTCTACTAGCAAAAGTGCTTCTGCAGATGTTATATTTGCCTTGCCATATAAACAGGTTTATCTTTTTAGTAATTCTAAGTTTCCAGAAATGACTGAGATGAATAGTTCAGAAAAGTGGAGACCTGACTTTTCATAAAGAATAACTAACTCTGCAATATTTGTCAAAAAGAAAAATATGTCTTCTGAAACTACAGTGGAATGTTGTATTTCTGCTAATTATGATTTAATTTCTGGAATGCAGTGGGATGTCCACCTGTGCAAATTACTTTTCTTCATCTTTATGTGAAAAACTGTATTTATAGATTTCTTTCTCTGGTTATATGTAGGAGCAAGGTTTCTTTCTTGTGCATGTAGAATGAATGCGAAAGGATGCATGGTGGTTTTCATGAATAAACTGGCACTGACTTACGCAGCTTGCGTTTTCATGAGAGATATAGCATGAATGCTTTTATTTGCTTATTCAACACTGGCTGGATAATTTCTTAACACTGTCTTTCTAAAGATGCAGTAATTGTTTCTAAATACCAATGATTTTTTTTGTGTATTTGGAATTATATAACATACACAGTTACTTATGAAGTTTAATTTGTTTGCTCCTTGGTAACAAATTAACATACAATTTTCAAACATGTAACTGATAATATACAGTGCCTTGGAAAACTGTATGAAATTAAACTTGGTCTTTTATAAACTTAAAATGGAGACTGCACCTTTAAAATAAAGATTTATTAATAACTCTTATTAATGCTCTTATACAGCTATGACAGTAAATCACCAACAGCTTGCATTGCCAATTGCTGATTTTTTTTCTTTTAATAATATGCTGCATGTAGACAAAGATGACCTGTCCCCAACTGCTGAGGTTTGGGATGTAGACCAGGGACTAATAAGTAAACTGAAGGAACAGTACAAGAAGGAACGAAAGGGGAAGAAAGGGGTAAAGAGTAAGTGCAGATTCTGAATCTTGTAATGCAACACTTTTTTGCCTATTTATATAGAAGACATTTTTTCTCATGAGTTCTGTTTGTTGTTTGTTTTTTTTTCCATTAAGCATCATTTTCTGTAATGGGGGCAACCAACTTTAACTTTCTACCTGCTGAATGTGAATATGTCAAAACCTTTGACAGCCATTTCATTAATGAGAAATGTTGAAAAGACAAAAATTCAAGGTTAAACAGGTGAAGAAAAGTTTAGACAGGTTAAAGAGTTAAACAGGTGAAGAAAACTAAATGCATAAAAAGGTTAGTGTAAAAATAATGAACAACTTGCATTTTGAGGACATCTCTACTCTAAGAAGTTTTCTGAAAGATTTAAAATTCATCTGCCTCTTAAAGTATAATACTGTGATATTGTTGTGGGACTAGTGATTTGTTGGGCTTTTTCTGGGGGTGATGGTGTGGGTTTTTTAATTTACTTTTTGGCTTTTTTGGTTTTTTTTTTTAATATGAACTTGAACCAGTTGCTATTTATGGGCTTGTAATTATTTTTACAGTCCCAGGCATAGAGAATTAGGAAATGCCTGTAATGTAAATATGAACTTTTTGGGGACTTTATTTAGGAGATAATCTTTATTTTATAATGCCCTTCACTTTTCTGTGCATTTACCAATATTTTATTTGATATCTCTCTACTCCCTGAATTTTCTGACCAGTTGACCTATTTTAATTATGTAGTTTAAACCAAAATTCAGGGTTGAACTACCTGATAAAAATACTTTTGGGAATTATGTTATCAGCTGTAACTATAAAGTTCTTAGTGTATGTAGCGGTATTAAATCTGTCAACATAGAATGGTTTGGTTTGGCAGGGACATTAAAGATCATCTAGTTCCAACCCCCCTGCCATGGGTGGGGATAACCACAAGACCAGGTTGCTCAGAGCCGCATCCAACCTGTCC